AGTACTATAAGTATTAGTTACTTTAAACGGTTACAGGCCTATGAGCAGGACTTTGGTCTCCTGCAATACAGAGCCATCCACAATGCAGAGCAACAACAGGCTTATGAACAGGACTTTAAGGCAGACTATGCTGAATACAGCATCCTTCATGCCCAAGTCATGGCTGCAAGCCACAGGTTCACTGAGCTGGGAATGGAGATTAAGAGACTTCAGGGAGTTAACTCCAGATCACAAGCTGCTTAAAGATAAAATAGTTCAGGAGTATAAAGGGTTCAAGGGGCAGTACCCAAGAAACAGGAGAGAGAAACGTCGTTGTTCTTGATGTGGAAACTTCTGATTCGTTTGGAAAGTCGGTTATGGGAAATGATGTTTCACTGAAGCAGACACTGGTGAAAGGACACACGGTGTTTAGAAGGAATATGAATAAAACCTGACAGACAGTAGACGTGGCTGCATGGTATTGGTAAGCCTTACCATTGTTCATTGTTTATTGGTCATTGTTTCTCATGACTCCATAGAGAGAAATGAACCAAAAAACTTCTGGTGATGTTCTGGCGGCTTCTTGCTGCTTCTGCAGACTTGGCTGGTTGACAGAGTGAAGTGGAAGTTTCTGGATATGTCAGCTGATTCAGACTCAGTGGAGTTTTGCTGAAGCAAGCCTCCTGAGTGAAGGCAAGGCTTGAGTGAGGACACGTGATGTTTGAGGGAGTGTAATACGATGCAGTGGCTTGCATAGCTGGCTTTGCAATGCTACATCAGTCTCATGTCTTCATCTTTGCTGCTCTTTGCCTCATGAAAGAGTCACGGCAGAGAACTTCTCCTGGTGTCCCTGCTGCTCCTGGTCATTCTTACTGACTCATGCTGATTCGGTGGAGGCCTGGCTGTTTCTGCTGGGGTGTGCCACAGCTGATGATTCCTGTTTGCTATCCAGACACCACTGACCTGGAGTGCTGGTATCCTGTCAATTGGAGATTGAAATTGCCCCAAGGAACTACTTCTAAACAGGAAACAGCTGAGACTCCTGGCTTCTTCTGGATCGAGCTGCCGTTGCTGAATCTTGTGAACTGAACTGCTGATGTCCTGACAACACAAACTCGATTTGATACAAAGAACCATTTCTAAACAGGTCTGCTTCCCCCCTATCCTAATAACCTTTCTTTTCCACTATTTCCTGTGGGTGGTGGACTAGAAGAGAGGTCAAACATTTAAGAACCCCTATTAAAAATAGGTTTTGAAAAATCTAAGCCAATAATCTCAGCTGTGGATTTGCTCGTGAGAGTTCAAAAGAAAAACACATCCTGTACCTGAGAATCCTGTAAAAGACCCTGGAAAGAAGCAGAAATCACCAGAGTAGCATGGCTACAGGGAGAGCTCAGGGCAGCTTCAAGACTGCATCATTAGTAGCTAAAACAAATGGAAGGGAGGAAATGTAGTGACTTATTTTGTGCACTCATCACATCGAAAGATCCCCACTGGGGTCTCTGATCTTTAGACCTGGAGACAAGAATCCTGGGATCAGGACCAGGTTCAGGGTCTCAGGTATAGGATGTGATCTGTCTGTTCATCTCTCATCCCTGTGTCCTTGTGATCACAGACTCTCAGCAAGTGCTTCCTAGTGATGGAGAGAGCAGAGCCCAGAGGTGACACAGCTGAGAGACTCCATCAAAGATCACAATGGACTGCGCACACCTGGGCACTGCCCTGTTCACCCTCAGCTCCCACAGCATCATTCTGTCCCAAGAGATACACACAGCATAGTGACACAGATTCTGGAAGGTTCTCCATCTGCCATTTATTTCTTAAAAAAAAACAACTCTATTCTCAAGCCATCAATTTAACAAGCAATCAACACTCAGGTCAAGATGTTAACAATCAAGTTCACATTCAGATTCTTATTCTCAGTGTGGAAGTGAGTAGCTGCAGCTCAGGGCAGCATGGAGCTGACAGGATGCAGATGACCCCCAGTGTTTGGCTGGACCAGGAAGGTTGGCTGTGGAAGGGAACACAGGCAGTGCAGGGACAGGGTGCTTGTGTGCAGGGCAGGCTAAGCTCCACAGTTCTTCACATTGAGCCCAGAAGATCACAGGGAACATCAGACACTGTTGTCTAAAGAGAACTGAGGGCTCTGGATGTCACAGGAGAGACCTCAACACACTGTCTCTCAGTCCACTCCAGGATGCTATCTTCATGCTAGAGAATGAGAGTCATGAACCATCACTGTGAAGTCAACATCCCAACAACCCACCACTCACAGGGGATTCTGGGAGTCCCTGAAACCCAATCATGTCCATATTGCCCCTCCCCAATCAGGCCCCAGAGTGTCACATTTACAATCTGGGAGAGATATATCAGAACTCTGGGAGCTGTCTCTGCCTAGAGTAAAACAAAACAAATGGATATGTATGTGTATGTGTTCATATCACGGTACAAATGAGACCTCCTGAAGGTTTCTCTGTGTTTGGCGCCTACCACCCCGACCAGCAGGGAAGAAAGACTCGCACACCAGTTCCTTCCAGCAGCAGTTTACTCAGGAGTTGCTAGTTACATGAAGCTTGAAGGTGTGCCCCCGAGCCAGCCCAGGAGCGAAGCTTTATACCCTGTGTAGGACTGCCCATGAGCCCATACCACGTCTCGCACTGTGATTGGTCAAGGACCCATGACACAAGATCAGGCCACCAGGAAGTACCGCCCCAGGACCAAACAAGGCTTGTTTACTCCAAGTCTGCAAGGGCAAGCAGGCACCATCTTTAAGGCGTGGCAGCAGCGCTCCACAGTTCCCCCTTTTTTGTTTTTAAGCAGTTTCAAGCTGTGACTGCCCGATCAAGCAAGCTCCATCATGTAGGATCCCACGATCAAGGGCAGACAGGCTCAAGCCATGGGACTCACTCTACTGGGTGCAATGGGCAAAGCCCACCAGGTGCAAGAGCTGGGCCCAAGGAAAATGGAATAGACACCCATCCCGTGTGCAATGAAACCTATAGGCTTCCAGGGGTGCAAGGGCTGTCCAGACCTAAACTTTGGGGTAATGAGAGCAACTAATACTTCAAAGCTACCAGCCATGCTTGTGGAGATACACCCCCCTCAATGGCCTGAAAGGCACGCACTACCAGCGCCCTCTCACGTCTCTGGGCCCTGACCATACAACAGATTCAAGACAGGCAGAGAACACAGATGCCCACTAGGGCAACAGCTAGCACTCCTATACCCTGAAAATCTTCATGATGCAATGCTTCCGGGCTCACATGGGCAGGTCAGTACTATTGTGTCTGGTCTTCCTAGAGGTACCGTCGTCTCTCGGCAGTGCTTTCTGCAAGTTGGACACAGCAACAGTTCTCTCAATGTCTATGACAGCGTACAGCTCTGTGCGCCGGGTGGGGGTTTGTAGGAGGGGAGTGGTTGTCGTTTCTGGAGTCTGATGGTTGTCAGAGTCACTGCCCCTTTCCAAATCCACCTGTATATAACTGAGTTGCCTATGTTCTATACTGGGGCGCCTGATATCAAGGTTAAAGACTGTCGGTGTACAATCCCTACGCCTTGAATAGTCTATTTTGTGAGCACTTCCCACAAGAGAGTGTCGGCTTGAGGGGTGAGATGAAGTATCTCCAAACGAGGGGTAGCAGGGATGCCCGTTGGGTAAGTTCTGAGCACCAAGCCCTGGAGTCGTAGGTGTTCGAGGTGTTCTAGGGACTTCCAATTCTGTCTGATGACTATTCCTTTCTACAACTGGCTCTTCCACCACATTTATACTATTATTTTGCATAATCTCTTGCAACATGTTAAATAATTCTTCTGCACGGGCACACTTAAAAACAAAAATTCCTTGTCCAGTTTGACACAATCGACCACTTTCAAAAGAAAACAGATTTGAGTCGTAGCCGTACCGTCGCAGGCAGAGGTAGTGCCATTTCACCGAGTCTCGCTTCGGGGTGTACAGAATCAGTTCTGTGTCTGTGAGCTCCATGAAACCAGAGTCTAGCTCATTGCCATCATCATCAACGTTAACAACCTTAAACTTGTTCCTATGGTTATCTGGGACAGTGTCTTTATCTGGACAGCTACAACAGCTACCCATGGCTTTGCTTTCTAACCTTTCCGCCGCTTTACCACAGTCCTTAGATTCGTCCCTCTCTTTGAAGTCTGTATTATTTTAGCCTCACTACCCTTGGCCTCTTTGATCTTTGTATACTTATGCCATGTTCTTTCTCTTCCACACCTTTGTACTTGGCAGGAAATGTTTCCAATTCTTCACCTTCACTCCCTCTCTTCCCTTTCTATGTCCTTCCCCAGTTTATCCCAGGTGGCCAAGGTAAGCTGTCCCGATACCACGAACCAAGGGGCGATGCGGTCCACTTCCTGGACAAACTGCTGTAGAGCCTTCTGTTTAAGGTAGTTAACAGCGGCACTCATGCCCTGGCTGGTGACAGTTAAGGCAAAAACACAGCACCAGGGATACTGCAATCGTGATCGCCACTACTAGAATAACTATCCACGGATCCACTCCTCCTGGCACGAACATATCCCGCTGGCCTTTTTACTTTCACTTTTGCTTGCCTCCATCCGAGGACCTTAAAGATTGAAGCCTCCTTCCGAGGACCTTAAAGAT